ATAAGTGGGTCAGCAGCAGAGTGAACTCTAAAATGATTGAGAGAAGCACGTAGAACGTTTTAATTACAATTGGCCTAGTTTCGAGTCGAGATTTTGACCGTACGTCTACTGGGGCAGCCGATGGATATCTACGCCATGGACCCTGCTATCAGATTTGAGTTAATAGTTTAATTGAAAGCCGCGTTGAGTATTGTCCGAAACGAATTCGGGCGGATTTTTCAATGGGCTGTTGGCCAAGCCCTTCAAAGATGTGATGAAATGTGAACGGGGCTATTTCATTTGGTGGGAAAACTTGGCCTAAGCCTATACCAATTACTGTAGCAATTGAATGCTTCAAGTAACTACCTTTAAGTGAGAGATTTCTCATCGCAAACTACAGCCACCTTTGAACTGATGGCTTGAAGTTTTCATTAATTCTACTTATCGTGCTGACAATTTTCTTCCACTCTTCGGCTGTCAATGCACGGCCACTTTTCTTTGCACGCACAGATGTAATCTCAAGAAAACTCCATCAAATGACCCCAAATGTTGCCATTCATTTCGGTTAGGCCTAACGGAACCCCCAAGGCGACCTCATTGCACCTCTCTATGTGCCTCGTGCACGGTTTTCATGCGACCTTACACAACCAACAACCAACAACCAACCACCATCCACTGCGGAAGGCCTCATTAACTGACCTTAGTTGACAATTTGAGTGGGCCTCTGTGCCTGTGCCGGACCAACGAAAATTGCCTAATGAAGTGCTCACGGAACCTCAGAGTCAAGCGAAAGGCTTCCCGAAAAAAAAACGGCCACGGGTAAAAAGTTTGTTGAACTTTAGCTACGCCGCAAAAATGCGCAAAAAAAATCAATTTCTTTGCATATTAAATCAGGCAACACATTGTGTGACCCGGGGCCAAACTAGTTATAAAAAAAGATCTGCCGCCACGCCGGGGCGAAGGCTTTGGGTTATGTCATGGAGCCTCATGAGCCAAGCCAAGCCAAGCCAAGCGAAGCCATTTCTGAAAAATGCTAATGATAGAAAAGAGAATATTTTTCACAAAGTCAGGGCCAGAATTTCTTGTTCCTCGATCTCATGGCTCCATGATTCCATGATTCAAATTTTATCTGAGATTCATGCGAGTTCTTTCAACTTGTTTATCCACTTCTAATGCCGCAGCCGGGGGCAAATCTATGACGGGTTCAAACACCTTTCGAAATCTGTCTAATGCGTGTATTGATTATGGCAGGGGGGGTTGGAGTGGGGCTTCGACTGCTTCTCCCCATCCAAAAATAAGACTGATTGCGAAAGAAATCTTCATGTCTTGAACAATTTGTTGCGCCTGCTCTGCCTGAAGTATGACTTGGAGTTGGAGTTGGAGTTGGAGCTAGAGCTGGAATGGAAGTTGCTTCATTGTATATCAACTGAAGTACATTCCGTTTTGTCGTTTTTTCTTTTTTTTTTCCTTATGGATTGCGCATTTTGCAATCTTCATTTCTAATGCCTCGCAACTGGCTGCAATTTTGTTGGCCGCATGCCGTTTTACTATTTGATTAGCTGGAAAATTTGCCATCGTTTAATTAAATTAGTTGTCTGTCTGCAGTGTCGTTGCCTGTCTGTGCCTGCGTATGGGCATCCAAATGACACTAAGCGGAAATGGCGAGCAATTTGCATGCAACTCGCAGGCTGTTTAATGCCGTTTCCATCTCTTTTCCCCCAACATTGGTATTGGTATTGGTATTGGTATTGGTATATCTCTATCTCTGAATTGAACTGAAGTGAAGTGAAAGGTGCGGCCTGTTGGATAGTATAACATGTTTGGAGCAGAGAATGGAGGTCTTGGACATTGAACTCGGTGCGATTCTAGGCTGGGGTTCCACGATGGGAAGCACAGATTGCCCAGCTTGTAGAAGAGCATGATCTGATAGAAAATGTTATGGTTTTGCAGATATGTATATGAAATCTACAGAGGATTTGAAGTGTGAGAACTAGGTACATACATACATACATATGTATGTATCTAATGATAGGCAAGATACAAGACAAAGAAGCGCATAATTTTTGCTTAAAGCCCGCGAATCATTTCCAGATCTTCTGTCTTTCTCTTTAATATTCCCCCCGATCTTTGGCACCCACATTTCAATCATCTTGATAAAGTTTCAGCCAAATGTAACAACTAGAATTATATATAGCCTGACATCAACTACGCCCCTGTTGAAGGCAATACCCACCAGCCATTACTCCCACGATCCCCCGACTCCGAGCCCCCAACCACGCCTACACACTCCACACACCCCCAGACCCCAACAAAGAAAAATAGAGCTCGTATCGCATACAGATACGCACATACTCGCAGAGGAGGAGCGAGAGAAAAAAGCGCTAACGAACCGAGTATGGTTCGAGGTCCCTGGTCCCTGGTCCCTGGTCCCGGGTCCCGGGTCCCTAATGGCCTGCACATGTGCTACGTGGCAGCAAACGAACTGCAATCGGACCCAAATCCAACACCCCCATTCTATTCCACCCAAGCGTCGCCACTAGCCCATGTGAGTGTGTGTGTGTGTGCGTGTGTGTGTGTGTGGATCCAGCCAAATGTCCAAAAGAAATCGACGCAGTCACGTAAAATTATTTTAATAATCACATAACTTTCGGCATTTACACGCCTGGCGACCCGTTGGGAGTACGAGAGTAGAAACGAGAACTGAGAACCGAGCCCAGAGAACCAAACAAAATGTCAATAAATTCCGTGCTTTCTGCAACAAACAAAAAAAAAGAAAGAAAAGCAAAGTTTTGTAAATGCACAAGACGAGGCCCAACCAAGAGGATGAGGAAGGGGAAGAGGAATGCCCATGTTTTGGTGGCAACAGCGCTTAAGTGGGATTTGCGGGCCACTTTAGCGTCAACTTTAACAATAAGTTGGCCGAAAAAAGAGGGCGCATAAATGCGAATCGTCAGGGCCGACGAGAGACATTCGCATGCACATAAGCCACAAACTTTTGGCGTCAACTGTGGGCTAATGAAATGAAGCCTCCCCCAAAGACAACAAAAATAACCAAGCCCAAACCCAAACCCCACTCTAGTTAAGAAGTTGAGCCAAGTCCACACAGCAGGTGACCATCACCATCATCGCCATCGCCATCGTCCAGCGAAAGCGCCTTATGGCCAGCCCTGGGCGGGCCCTGGTGACTGTTTCAGCTACCAATCTGCTGTGTATTTGTATGGCCAAGAGATACATTTCATGAAAGTCAAACCAGCTCAGACCAGCGAGGTCTGTGATTTTCCTTAGACCCAGACCCAGACCCCCTCCATATCCATCTCCATCTCAAACTCCAACTCCAACTCCATCTCGACGCCAGTGCAGTCATTTGAAATAAATTACTCTGTGCACCTGATGACAAACTAAACAAGACCCAAACCGAACCGAACAGAAAAGATCCGCGACCAGGAGACTGGGTCGTATTTGTGTTCCCTTCTATGGCCGCATTTATTGTCATTATTATTTTGATACCGTTTTTTAAGGCCGTCCCGTCCGAGACTTCTGTTATATCTGGTCCGTAGATTTATGCCAACAAAAGCGAACAATAAAAAAATATTTATTCACATTTTTTTTTTTTTTTTTGGTTTTAATTTTGTTTCTTTCTTCTGCATTTTTCCCGCTGTCCGGCTGGAGCTGTTGGACACCAGACGGGGGGACACCGGACAGCTGCATTAAAAAAGTTGCCAAAGAAAACAGTTTGCATTGCAATTTTTAGTTGGTTTTATTTTTCATCGTTTTTGTTTTTTCTTTCGTTTTTTTTTTTCATTCGTTCTTCCTCTTGCTCCATCGTTTTGTTTTCTTTCTATTTCTTTGTGCTTCTTTCGCTTTGTTTTGTTATCAACGTTGGGCAAATATAAAAAATATAAAAATAGAAAAAGCCAAAAAGTATATACAAAATATAAGATAGATATAAACATATATACGAGTATGTACACTACATAAAAAATGACCAGGCCAGGGCGAAATGCGGGCTCCACAAAAGGTTCTCCGGTCTGTTGCAACTCGGCTAAGCCCTCCCGTGTGGCAGGCAAGTGGGTCATTGTTGCACGACCAAGAGCACGAGTGTGGCATGGATTACCAACTCCGGGCCACAGTAATGCCAAATCTGATTGTTACGAACTCAACTATGGAGTATGGACTGAGTCTACGGACTTGTTAGCTGCATCCCAAGAAAAGTACAAAATAATATCTCAAGAAACTACAGCAAGATACTAATATTCCTCAGTACCTTACATCATTTCTCACTTAATATTCCACGCATATGTAATTCCATAATTTCTTATAGAAATCTTTGAATAATCATCAAGTTATTGATGGTCATTTGATCATCTATGCGACGTATTTAGCTTATTAAATGAAACCACAAATCTGTCCCTTAATTCTGATTCCGTTCTCTGAATTTTAAACGTTTCGGCTTCCCTCCCGCCAAAATGCCCCAATACCTGGACTGTACCGCATTCGTGACAGGTAACAACTCCAGCAGGTCCCAACCCTCGGGACTGGGTGGAACCACCCCCAAAAACCTATCCCGCATTGTTTTGTTAATTTCTTTTATAATTTTTCCAGTCTCTCCCTATTCTGATGCATTTCTTGTGTACCCTCGCCGATTTTTGCTTTGTTTCATTTTGTTTTCTTCTGGCTTTTCAGAACTTAATTAAATGTTGTCACAGCGCACACTTTGTAGTCGCCGTCGCCGTCCCAGGGCTTGTCCCTTCCCTCCGTTCCTAACCAAAGGACAGAAACGTTTCGGTCCGTTCTGTTCCTGTTGCTGTTGCTGTTGCTGTGTGCGACAGCAATTCGAAGTGTAAATGAAATAATAGCTGCTAAAAACCAATTTGGCGTAAATTATAAAAGCTTAATGGCCATTATAAATAGAATCTCTGTTACCATACCAGACTCCGTTCCGTGCTTCGCAGGCCCCCGTCCCTTTGTGAGGGGAGCTGTCATTTAATCTTTGACTAACAATTTGTGCCCTTCTATTGCAGATCCGTGGAACTGATTGCCCTGCTGGCCATATCGTGCACCTTCTTCCTCTTTATGCACACCAACAAGCTGAACAGCCGTCTCAAGGAGATGGAGGTGAAGCTGCAGCCCTCCGAGTTCTCCGCCCTCGGCCTGACCAGCAATCACGTCAGCGGCCACGATGCGGGCAGTAAGTAACCCCCACAGATACATATCTAACGCATCTCCATCTCCACCATCATCCCAGCCCAGCCCAGCCCAGCCCACAACGAGCCCAAGGCCGAATTGTGGGCCAAATTTCGCGCTCGATTGCATTCGCGTTGCGTATCAGATAAAGGCATCACTTGTGTACAGGAAGTATGGCAAAGAAAAAACATCGTGAAAGAGGGGGGAGGGGGGTTTCTTCTAAAAGGTTCGACTAGAAGATGTTCTTTTGAAACAGGTGTAATAGTGGAATCAAACATTAACTAATGACACACTTTATAGAAACTTTAAAAATGTATTATAGGCATTTAAATATTATTCATATTCATGGCCTACATGGCCCCCCCACCCCTTATGGCTGCCTAATATACCCCACCGGGCAGACCCATTAGGTTGTACAGCTTTCGAACATCGGCTACGCCCAATTGATTTTTAATTACCACATTGACCCGTGGACCTCAGACCTCAGGCCTGCAAATGGCAAAAAAGAACAACTACAGTGGGACACCTTTGTTAATATTTTTCCCTGGCTATGGCTCTGGCTCTGGCTCTGGTTCCGGTAATAAATTAGTTGATCGTTTTAGGCTAAATTAGTGCGCATGCTTTATGCATGAATAAATAATAGAATATTTAACGGAAAGACACCCAAAATAGTACATGTATCTATCCCCTTTATACAATAATCGGATTTTGTGTGCTGTGGAATAGCACTAATAAACTCTCAAATTAATATCAACACAATACACTAGTATTGTCGATGCATCCATAGATAATCGTAGTTGGTGGCACGAAAATATGTGCGGCATGGCATGCTTTTTAATTACAATATGCATGTGTTTACATAGATGATACCTCGCTTCTTTTTTTATTTGTGCATATTTTAGTGCATTAATAAATTATGTGTTTAGTTGTGCCCCAGTGGGAGGTTGGGGGGCATCCTCCTTTTATTTGGAGGCAATTTAACCTTTTGACATTGCGCTAAGCGCAGTTTTGTTTTGTGACTGTGATGAAAAATTCAGCATATTGATTATAATATTATTAATTCAATTAGCAAATAACACAAGGGGGAAATTTGTGGATTAGGTGTTTGTATGGCATAATCTTATTTCTGGGCCTTCGGTACAATTTATCAAGAGAAACTCTTTCAAAACTCTTTTCCCACTTATCCGTAGATCAGTGTATATATGTTAGCCCCCCAGCCAGTACTCAGCGAGTACTCTCGTTAAGATCACATTACCATAGACCTCAAAAGCAATCACTTGACACTCTTCCCTCTCTAAAATGTTTGCCGAACATTCTCCAAAGCCAAACAAAAGCCGAACCAAACGCCATTTCAATTCCATCAACAATGAAAACGCATTCAAAAACTGAGTATAAAAGAAGTGGCAAAGCGGAGATTTTTCAGAGCGGCACTTGAGATTCTGCCACTTGAGCGAGATCACTTCGGCTAATGATCATCGTCAGTCGCGGACCGTAATTGGACTAATACCTCCATCATTAGGCAATGCTACTTGCTGAAGCTGAAGCTGGATAGGAAAACCGAAATCAAATCAAAACTTTCTGAAAAATGCTAAAAAAAAAAAACAGACCCCCTAATTTCCATGCCGGAAGTTTTGGGGCTCGCTTAGGCCGTGCAACTCAACTTGCAAATTAGACAAAAGTTGCCCCAACAGCAGCAGCAACAGCAGCTGCTGAGCCACTGACGAAAGCAACAAGGTGATCTCTAGGGGAAGACTGTGGCAAGGTGATATCTGGGCAGAGGCGGAGGCGGAGGCGGAGACGGAGGAAGTCTGGGGAACTGAAGACTTCACGCCTTACTGCGGTGATTGCCAACAACAGCCAGCTGGCAGTACAGTGGAACAAAGGCAGAGGGGCATTGCCGAAGACTTCCACAGTAAAAGATGATGATGATGATGAAGTCGAGTCAGATGGGACCATCCAGACCGGAGTGCACTTGTGGCACAGCTGGTGCCAGTGCCAGTGCCAGTGCCATATCCATTGTGGCTGCTGCTGCTGCCGCTGCCGCTGCGTCTGCGCACGCGTCAGTTGCACCGCCTCGTGCACAGACGACAGTTACAAATTGTCCCTGTTTAGGCCCCCTCCAAGGCAAAATCCGGCTAATGGCCAAAAAAGAAGGAAAAAATTTATAAAATGAAAAGAAAACAAAGCAAAAGTGTGTGACGTTGATGGAGGTTTTCTTGCGCTGTCTGTCTGTCTGTCCAAAAGCAAAAAAGAAAGAAAGAAAACAAGTATCTGTAAAATGCACAAACGGTTTACCTTCAGCCATACGTATTCATTCATTCATAAATATTTCATTTAATTGACTCACACGACTCGCGGGGGTCGAGTGCGAGATAAAGATACAAATATGATGACGTACTCGTACTCAACATGCTCGTTCAGGCCATCATCATGATGATGACACCGTTAGCCGGCTCTTTTCTTTGGCTGCGTTTTGTGTGCCAACATTGAACTTGACTTGGGCTAATTAACAGCTCTGAACGTTGCAGCCAAGTTGTGTTTTTGGCTTGGGGCTGCGGTTGATGTCGTGGTCTAATGGCCACATGGAAACATGACGGAAACATGACTCAAGTTTAAGATTCTTTAATGGATTGTTGTGTGAATTGGGGAGACGGCTAATGAATGAGCTGAGACGAACAACGATTGCTGGGAAAATCAATAATACATTTAAACAAGAAAAAGGCAAAATAATAAAGGATGACAATCCTTCACAATCTTTCACAATCCTGATGAATCTCTCAGTCGATGAACAAAATAGCAATGAAGAAGATTGATAGACTGATTGACTGATGGATAAACTGCCCCACAGACAGACAGCTCGTCCACAAATCAATGTCAAGCTAGATCGTTTACACCCTCGAAGAATCGCTTCAAAAGCCATCCCTGACACAAAAGAGTAGACCCAATAAAACCCATCAGTGCTCTACCTGTCGCGATTCATTGTCTCCGATGGAAAAAAGCAGTCAACCCAACAATTGTCTACACCTTTAACTAGCACAGCCGAAGAAGAAGAAAAATAAAACTAAAGTGTAGCAATGCCAACTTTGCCCCTGGCAAAAATGCATAGCAAACCAGTTCTTTGCGCTCACTACCGAACCGAGCAACTTTATTTTCAATTAGACGAGACCCCGGCCAAGAGTCGGATCCATAGACGAATAGCAATACTCGTAGCAGTACGAACACCTACCCAGTTCGTTAGTCAGCCAAACCAAACCAAACCAAACCGAATAGTGCCTAGAGTTGTGGTCCAATTTAGCGGAAAAGCTGCAAACAGGCAATTTTCTGTGGCAGGGGCGTTACCAAGGGGTTCGGCTAATCTTAGAGTCAGGTCTTGAGATCGAGAAAGAGGTAAGGAAACATAAAATTAGACAAATGAACGAACTATTGGGCGGAATAAGGCTGGAAATTAGATAGATTATTATAAGATGGAAGAATTATAAAGAAAAATTAACCGGAAAGAAACCCATAGAGACGTTTTCAAGTGCTTGCAGATCCTTCATCAACAATAAATGGTTATTGAATCCGATTCAATAAGAGAGTGAAACGATCTAGAAGGGAATGATCCACAAAACATGTAGGTATGTCTTAAAATACCAAGAAGGGTTTGATAGATTGGATATAGAGTAGAAAGGAGTAAAAGATGATCTGATAAAAGATTGTATACACAATTTCTGGTTAAGCTGCATCATCGACCAGCACTCCTTCCCAGTCCATCCCCTCACAGCATCCCCTGCTTAGAACAAAGCCAAATGCGGCCCCACCTCAGTATGATTCCACTTTTTCCCATGCATTATGTGCATGCACCACATGTTACGTTGTTCACCTTCAGCCGGCACCTGAAGTGGCCAATAACCGGAGCTAAGCTCCGACTGAAGGTCGCTTTAGAACAGCAGAATAAAGAATAAAAAAAATATCGAATTAACCAGATCACAGCCAAAGTGGAAGAACTGCATGAGACAACTGCATGGATGTGACCCAATTTCCTGACCACACAAACAAACCCCGAAAAAACACAGAGATATAAAAGAAGAGCAGACTTCTATTTTAAGGTTTCAACCGCAAAATGTGTTTCACTTTTGGTTCAGTGACTTTGTTGTCGGTGGTTAAGCCGGAGAGAGAGAGAGAGCGAGAGGGAGAGAGAGGGAGAGAGAGTGAGAGACACGGACCAGCAAACCAGTTGGCCACCACTTTCATTCACATTTTTCAGAGAAACTGCCCAATTGACCAAATACAACACAACGAATCTGGTTTACATGCAATTGGAGTGGACACGGGACTGGATACGGGCCTGGTGATACACACTTCCTCGTTCAGTTCGGGACGAATTATGAAATACTTTGCCTAAAGAAAACACAAAAGTGGTGCGATCGACCCACACTACACTTGAAAATCAAGATGTTTTCCGCATCAGCCTTCCTTTATATCTCTCTCTCTCTCTCTGTCTCTCTCTGTCTCTCTCTGTCTCTTTCTGTGTGTGTATAGACCTGTCCAAATGCTCGATTACAGTCATTTACCATTTGCTGCTAAATTGTATTGTATGCAGTGCCCACGTTCACGTCTGGCAAAACTGGACAAATGCCTAGACATCAACATTTTAATTGCCCTCACGACACCACCGCCATCAAATGGACACGCAAAAGTTTCCATTTGCATGCGTTTTGCGTTGGACGCAAGGATGGGAGAGGGAGTGGTAGTGGTAGTGGGAAACCTTTCGAAATCTGAGGATGATCCCTATCGCATCCTAAGTGATTCGGAAAAGTGAAAGGAGTCGCCATGAGCTTGCATATTTATTGCACTCATCGTCATTTATTTATCAAAGCTGAAAATGGCTTCAGTATTCGACTTCCCCCCATTCCAGATATTGCATAAACAACACCTTTTGGGCTCCAGAGGAAAGTAAAAGTATTCGGTATTACTTCCTTCCATTTTTTGGGAGTCCGTTTCTAAGGTCATCGGAGGTGTGATGTAAATCGATGCAACTTGTCATTCGTAAGACATCGCAAGACGTACAACGTCAGCTGAATAGAGTCATGTTTCATAGAAAAGACAAACCAATATCTTTAATTGATTAGTATGGGAGCTCTTTTCATTACAAAATAAACTACGACTTTGTATATTATTATCGAGTGATTTATTAACTGGCTCAACCTTTCAGAACACGACGATATCAACACTCTGCATGGCACCTACCAATATTTGAAAAGCACTGGCCAGGTAAGCTAATGAAAAACCATTCTATAAATATCTTGATATGAATATCTTGCATATTGCCCATCATATCGTAAACATTATTGCATACATTATTGGCTGGCCATAAAGCAGAAACAAGTAAAGCATCATCGATGAAACTCCATTAAAAGCGACCTATACATGCGGAAAGGTAGCTTCAGCTCCTTGGTGTTTGATATTGCATATATGCCTGACCGGAATGCATACCCTCCCATACTCTCTGTATCTTTCGTTCATACTCGCTGCCTCTCTCTCTCTCTCTGCGGTTCATACGCGCTGCCTCTCTATGTCCGGCATCATTGTGGCTCATCCAATCGCTGTAGCATTCTTCTTCTTAGCCCTCACAAACACAAACACCAACACACACACAACATACAACACAAACAACACCTACATATTAGTACTTATGCAATCAGTTTAGCTCTGGTAGTCTATTAGCTATCCCTGTATCTACAATCTACAATCTACCTATAGCTATGGCTATATAGCTGTCTATCCTATGCAGTTCTCTCTCCTTACACTAACACAAACGAAAATTACACTTCGACTCTGTCTTGGAATTTTGTCAGCGCAGTTTGAATCAATATTTGTTGGTTTTTTTTGTGTGGCTAGTTAGTTGCGACATAGAAGCGATAGAAATTCGATTTATAAAGATTAAAGTAAATGAGCAAATGTCCCAAAGGTAAGTTTCAATGATGGCTTTGGCTATGGGGAGGATTATTATTTATGCCCACATCCAGCTGTGCGCGACTTTGCGAAATCCTCAATGCGAAACCCGAAAAACTATTTAAGCTGATGGGATGCGATGCCCATGCCCCCAGTCTCTCTCTCTCTCTCTCTGTTGCTTCCCAAAAAAAAAAAAAACCGCTTAAAGTCTATTTTTATACATATATATATGTTGTCCTACTTGTGTTGACTCGTGTTCATGTTCGTGTAGCTTTGTGTGTTCCACTCAATCCGCAAGAAATTATCCTACTCCAACAAGCACTCCAGCACTCCCCAACTTTTGCAATCCGGCAGCTAACACACCTGACCGCCGCACAGCTGAACAACACACCGCGTGCCCAGCTGGACACGATATTCTTCAATCGAGTGACAAAGACCGGCAGCGAAAAGATGATGGAGTTGCTCAAGATCCTGGGCAAGCGGAATGGCTTCGAGGCCCGGCGCGATGTCGAGGGCTTCTACGAAGTGGTCCTCATGGATCCCACCTATGCAAAGAACTTCCTACACAGCGATGTGCTAAACAGCACGGGAGCCAACACGTATACCAAGCATGTGGCCTTCATCGACTTTGATCTCTTGAATGAGCCCTGGCCCATCTACATAAACTTGGTGCGCGATCCCATCGAGCGTTTGGTCAGCTGGTTCTACTATGCCCGGGCCCCCTGGTATCTGGCCGAGCGGAGGGAAACCTTTGGCGAAAAGGCTGTTCTGCCCAGCGTGGAGTGGGTCAGGAAGGACTTCAATGAATGCATCGAAGAGCACGATCCGGAATGTGTGTACGAGCAAATGGAAATGGGAAATCTGGGCGATCATCGAAGGCAGTCGTTATTCTTTTGTGGTCACACGACCTCCGTGTGCATGTGAGTAGCAGTCGAGATAGGATCTCAGGGGGCATCTCAGTATTTTGCGATGGTAGTCGATGAGTTGTGGGGGGAATAGCTAGAGATCTTTGGGGTACGTTGGGCAAAGCAAAGAGGATTGCTTGTGACATTTTATGATCCTAAAAGCACTCTGAGCTTTAGAGTATACATCTATTTATGTATATATGCCTTAGATCTCTTCAATCCCTATCCCAGCGCAACACCATCAATCTGCTCTAGCAACTGTAGAATACCCCATCAAAAGTACACCCGATGTATGTACAATCCCAAATACACTTTCTGCAGGCCCTTCAACTCGCACGAGGCGATGCAGCGGGCCAAACGGAATGTGGAGGAGCACTACGCTGTTGTGGGCACATGGGAGGATACAAACACCACTCTGACTGTACTGGAGGGCTACATACCGAAGTACTTTGCCGGCGCCAAGGAAGAGTACTATGCTCTGCGCAGCCGGCTGGGAAATGTTAATCGCAACAATTTCAGGCCCACACTGAGCGAGAAGGCGAGGGCCCTGCTCGCGCGGAACCTGACTAGGGAGATTGAGTTGTATCAGTTTATCAGGCATCGACTGTATAAGCAGTATATCGCATTGAGGCTGGACCTAGATCCGAAGCTGAGGGAAGCAAATTAGTTGATTAGTGATAGTGTTTCAAGAGTAAAATAAACTGTGTTAATTTTCGTACTGCTTGATCTTTCGGTATTTCCTAACCACGTCCTAGCTTGGGTAAACTTTCGATTGGGTTAGTCGCTCTCTCTCGATAGACGAGATGCTAATTCGGCCTACCATTTGCATGTAGCTACGTGGATACAATGTGCATGATCGCCGGAGCAGCGAGGAGGAACCAAAGCATGAAGAGGGACACGGACATGGACACCACCACGATCATCACTCGAAGCAGCACCAGCATCAGGTGCCTCACAAGGCGCACCTGCACAAGGCCCCACATGACAAACAATTGGCCCTGCCCGAGGAGAAGCCCCTCCAAGATGAGGCTAACTATGGGGACGATGAAGATGATGATGATGAAGATGAGGACGATGCTGATGATGATGAAAAGCATGATAGTATTGATGGCATTGATGGGTTCAATTTGCAAGCCGATTTACTGAACAATACCAAATACGCCGAAGTAGATTTCGTGTTCTTCAATCGCGTACCGAAGGTAGGCAGCCAATCGCTGATGGAGCTGATGGCACGCCTGGGCAAGATCAATGGGTTCAACCATGCCCGGAACAAGGGCGGTGCCCACGAAACCGTCTTGATGAACAAGCAGCACCAAAGCGATCTGCTTTCCGATCTCCTAACGCGCCCCAAGCCCCACATCTACAGCCAGCACATAGCCTACATCAACTTCACCAGATTCCATCTACCGCGTCCGATCTACATTAATCTTGTACGCGATCCCATCGATCGCATCATCAGCTGGCATTACTACATACGTGCCCGCTGGTACTATCGCGACATGCAGGCCAAACTGGGGGACAAGGCCCCGGCCATGCCTTCGGACGAGTTCCTAGACATGGACCTGGACACATGCGTCCGCAACAAAGATCGCCACTGTACTTTCAATCAAATGCAGATCAAGAACGAAGCGGGTGATCACCGTCGTCAGACTTTATTCTTCTGCGGCATGAATCAGAAGTTGTGCATGTAAGTAGGCAGTAGATAGGGCAGTAGATACTCGTAGCTCCCTCTGATCTTATCCCAACTGCAATCCCTGTTAGGCCCTTCAATTCGGAGATGGCCATGCAGAAGGCCAAGCGCACTGTGGAATCGGAATATGCCGTGGTTGGCACCTGGGAGGACACAAATATCACGCTGGCCGTGCTGGAGGCCTATATACCACGATATTTCCGTAATGCCAAGGTGGCCTACTATCGTAAGCACTCTGACTAACTTTACTTTGCCACGAGACTTGACAGAACTTAACTTTTAGTGGGCAAAGATCGTCTGTCCCGCGTTAATCGCAATAATGTCACACGCATCGTGAGCGACGAAACACGCCTGATCCTGAGGAAGAATCTGACCAACGAGATCGAGTTCTACGAATTCTGCAAACAGCGTCTGTACCTGCAGTATGCCGCTCTAAGTCATGGCAAGGGCTTCGGGGAAGACGACTATCTGCTGGTGCCAGAGCAGCGCAACGACTACAACGAGGAGGAGTATTAGGGACAGAACAGAGCAAGAATAGAATCGCGTAGGAACAAATTTCGATTAGACCTAAGCTAAGCCATGTCCACTGTATGATTAAACATTTCAGGACTATATAGTACACAATAATGTTTTGATTGCTTTTTGTGTGAATCTCTTGCTATGGCTTTGTGTGTGTGTGTGTCTGTTTCTCCATGTATATAGCATCTCTATGATGTCTGTCTTTTATGGTTACCTTTTGCGGTGCGCATCTACTACTCTACCCATGACCTTTTGCAGCTGTGGCGTCTGAACCCAAAGTTCCTGAACAACACCAAATACCATACCAGAGATATACTCTTCTTCAATCGAGTACCCAAGACGGGCAGCGAGACCCTCATTGAGCTGATGCTCCGCCTGGGCGAACGCAATCACTTTCAGAACGCACGATCGCCATTCGCAAAGCCCACCGGAGTCTATTGGTCGTTTGAGAAACAAAAAGAGGAGGCCCACCGCATTCTGGATCTGATGGAGGAGGATGCTTTCGCCTATGCCGAGCATGCCAACTATGTGAACTTTCGACAGTTTCACCTGCCCCAACCCATCTATATCAATTTGGTAGGAGCAGGAGCAGGAGGAGGAGCTGGCGTTTGTTTATTGTGTGTTGTTCCTCAAAACTTCCCCAATTCCCTTATTTGTGCAGGTTCGAGACCCTGTGGAGAGGGTTATTAGCTGGTACTACTATAAGCGTACGCCGTGGAATTCGCTGCAAATGTTCAAAATTACCGGAAAATTTGAAAATCGTACCCATTATACGAAAAACTTTGAGGATTGCGTGCTGAGCCACGACTTCGAATGTCGCTATGATTACGGCCTGAACTTCAAAGACGATCCAGCCGATCATAAGCGGCAGAGTTTGTTCTTCTGCGGACATGCCCCCTTATGCGAGTAGGTAGTCCCGGATCCATTCTAAGTTAATCATTTCCTCTCACATTAAGATGATTTCTCTTTGAACGCCAAGACCCTTCAATACGCCCTCGGCCGTGGCCCGGGCCAAGCAGAATGTTGAGCGTGACTTTTCGGTTATTGGCTCCTGGGAGGATGTGAATGTTACCCTGGCCGTGCTCGAGCATTTTATACCACGTTTCTTTAGGGGCAGTACCGACCTGTATTATGGTAAACCTTACTTATAGTTCCTTGGGGCTTGGCTTGACCGAGAATTAAATTGTCCATTGTCCACTTTCCTGCAGAACCCGTCAAAGGCCTGGCCTTCAAGAAGCGCAACACAAACCACTGGAAACCAAAGATCAGTGAACGGATCAAGAGAATAATGCGGGCCAATTTCACGCAAGAATACGAGTTCTATCACTTCTGCAAGCAGCGCTTGTATCGGCAATATTTCTCAATAAATAGACACTTGGATCTGTGATTATATCACATTATTTGTTTAATTTTGATTATTGAGTAGGATAAGAACAAAGATTGGATCAAGTAATCAAGAGCTTCAGCGGTCTTTTCTGTTCCACTAACTTTACTCATTCAATGCATCTGTAATTCTAGCCTAGAAGTTTTCATCTGCGTTTTTTTCTGCTGTTAAGGAATTCGAATTATTTCTTTCACATTTAAGCTGGTTGATCTTGTTCCTGTCCGACTGAATAATACACCCAAAGCCGAACGGGAGTTCGTATTCTTTAATCGAATTGAAAAGACGGGAAGTCAGTCGATGACCCGCCTAATAAATCAATTGGGCCTGCTGAACGGCTATGAGACATTCCGCAATGTGATACAACCAAAAAGGGCAATGACAGAGAACTTTGAGGAGCAAAGGGAATTCGTGCATCAGCTAACGGAACTGTCCGAACCGTCGGTCTATGTGGAGCACGCAAACTGGGTGAACTTCACGGTACACGACATGCCCCGGCCCATCTACATCAACCTGGTGCGCCATCCCATAGAGAAGGTGATCAGTGCCTATTACTACCTGCGCCACCCAAAGATCGTGGGCCAGTCCGTGAGACGCAACCCCAATAAAATAGTCCAGGATAAAACGTACTATGATATGAAATTCAACGACTGTGTGAAGCAGAGGATATCCCCCCACTGTGTGTTCGATGCCCACAATCGTTTCAACGGCGACTGGCGAAGATTCGCCTTGAAGTTGTGCGGTAATGCGCAGATTTGCGAGTAGGTTTTCCCTATAGAGAAACCCCCTTTCTACTTTCTCTGCAGGCATAATTCCCTTCCATTGCTATCGTTATTTAGGCAGTTAAACTCCGAGGCTACAATGCAAATGGCCAAGATGCATGTGGAAAGGGAATACTCTGTAGTGGGCACCTGGGAGCAGACGAATATCACACTGGCCGTACTCGAGGCCTACATACCGCGTTTCTTTACGGGTGCCACGAAGGTCTATTACTGTAGGTCCCCACTGATTTGCTAAATGTGCTTCGAACTCATTGATATATTTTCACTAGCCCAAACCAAAAAATTTACGGTAAACACGACCCCACATGACAACAGTCTGGATGAGGAAGTGGAGCGCTATCTCAAGGACAGCTTCAAATTTGAGCTTGAGTTGTACCAGTTCATCATGCAGCGCCTGTACATGCAATATATAGCCATTAATAAGAACCAATTCATGGACATTCCTATCTAGGCAACTGATAAACTTATAAGACTAAAACATTTTTTACATAAGATGAAATGATATGATACGAGTACCAATAGCATACTATACACACAAATTTCCCGCGAGTCTTTCTCTCTTTCGATACTAATCCTTTGTCGAGCATTTGGTTGGCTTGGATGCTTGAACCCACCATCACATGTGCGCCTCTCTGCAGTCTTTGTCTCTCTTTCTCTCTCTCTCTCTCTGTGCAACATCCTCCCACTCAAAGGTGTGCGTGTGCCTTTGCAGATCCTTCAGTTAAACGCACAAGACCTGAACAATACCCCCAAGGCTGACATCGACGTGCTCTTCTTCAATCGCGTACCCAAGACGGGCAGTATGCAGCTAATCGAGCTGATGCGTCAGCTTGGCAAAGTCCACGACTATGAGGTGGAAAAGGATCCCCAAAACGGTGGCGTCCTACCTATCCTTGAGCTGCCCGAGCAGAGCGATATGATCGAGAATATAGTCAACCTGGAGGATGGCACTGTCTTTGCCAGTCACGTCAACTATCTAAATTTCACAAAGAACGAACAGCCCCGTCCCATCTACATCAATATGGTGCGCGATCCGGTCGATCGGGTGGTCAGTTGGTATTACTATATTCGCGCCCCATGGATCTTTGTGCCCGGCCGCAGGCGCAGCAATCGGGAAATGCCCAATCCCAAATGGGTAAACACCGAGTACGATCAGTGTGTGTTGAGTGGCGAGAAGGTCTGCACCTACATCGAGGGTTCGCTCCTGGAGCATGTGGGGGATCATCGCAGGCAGATCCTATTTTTCTGCGGTCACGATGAGTTCAAGTGCACGTGAGTGTTGTCAGGCTTCCTTCTCTCATTCTGTCAGTCACAATGCAAGACCCTCCCTACCACCCCCTTAGACCTTTCAACTCTCGTCTGGCCCTGCAAATTGCCAAACTGAATGTGGAGCGGGAGTACGCTGTTGTGGGCACCTGGGAACATACGAACGAGACTCTTGCTGTCCTGGAAGCCTACGTACCCCGCTACTTTGCGGACGCTTCCAAAATGTACTACTGTAAGTCGGTTCGGACGAGACAAATATCTTGGGTAACCTAAGAAACTGCTTGATTACAGCTGGTCTGCATGCGGAGAAGCAGAACGATAACCCCATGAAGCCCCACATATCGCAGGAGATTCTCGATATGGTTCGTCGGAATTTCACGCGTGAAATCGAATTCTATCAATTCTGTCGCCAGCGCTTGCACAAGCAATATCTAGCACTGAAACTGAACGATCTTAGGCGCGTGGACAAGTCTTTGATTCAATTGGAGGCGGCCAATGATATGGCTATCAGGAACTAGAAATACTTAGGTTAAAAAGTAAATTAATAAAGCAAAGGAGAAGTACTTTGAGGGCTTACTTATATTACGATTAGGGGTTAGGGCAAGGCATAACTTTTATTCCGCTTAAATGAAACTCTTGAAAGGTTTCCACCTATCGCTTAATAACCCGATCTAAAGAGGGCAAATCTATTGCGTATCTCTCCCTCTCTCTGTCTCTCTCGCTCTCTCTCTGGATCTTAAAAAGGTAATAACTCTGGGACCCATTGAACTAAGAGCTAACCATGGCCCATCACTGATCAATCCCTGCTATCATATCTATATAGCTCAACCATCTGAGCGCAACGAGGCTGAACAATACTCGTAACGCTGATATCGATGTTCTGTTCTTCAATCGCGCCGCCAAAGTAGGCAGCGAGGCTATGCTGGAGCTGTTGCAAGCTCTGGAAAACTATCACGATGATTTAACCCTTGACAGAACGGGTCTCTCAAAACCCACTTCCCGTCAGTTGAAGAAAAACGACCAGCGTGACATGGCTGAATATGTCGCTGACCTGGAAGAGGGCTCCATTTACATAGAGCACATCAACTGGATAGACTTTGACGAGTTCGATCAGCCCAAACCGATCTATATAAACATGGTGCGGGATCCGGTGGAACGGGTCATCAGCTGGTTCTTCTACGCACGCGGTTCCTATAAGAATGCAATCGAGTACCGGAAAAAGCCTAATTTGAAGATAAAGAAGGAGTCGTGGTATAAGAAAAACTTTAATGAATGTGTCAAGAGCGGGGATCCGGAATGTCAGTATATACCCCATACGGTCAAGGATGCCGTGCCCAATTTTAAAAGACAAACCCTGTTCTATTGTGGTCATCACGATGATTGTATGTAAGTACAAAATGGATAAGGGAATATGGAGTTATAAATGGGTTTCTACTGCAAGGAAGTAGAGCTAATAGAGCGCTCATCTTTTAGTCCCTTCAATTCGCCGACTGCCGTGCAAATGGCCAAGGAGCATGTGGAACGGGACTATGCAGTCGTGGGAAGCTGGGAGGACACGAACATTACATTGACCGTCCTCGAGCGCTATATACCGCGATTCTTTCGCGGCGCCAAGCTGATGTACGAGAGTAGGTCAAACCATTTAAAAGTATAGCACATTCCCTTATTGAACTCGAATACCCCCATCCAACTTCTAAACAGTGAACAATAACAAGATCGTCAATCGGAACAAGAACAAACGAAAGCCGTTCATAGAGCCCGAGGTGAAGGCTATGATACGCAGGAATTTCACGAATGAGTACGAGTTCTACTACTTCTGCAAGCAGCGTCTGTACAAGCAGTACTTGGCCCTCAACCTCAACGAGCTGGAAAGGCATGGTCTTCTGAATTAGTTGAGAGAATTAACTGGGAGGCTAGACTAGACGTTAGCTGGTGATATACAAATACTTTCGAACAAATTTCCACTTAAATAAACAGTAGATACTTTAGACTAGACCACACTCTGTGTACTCTGTAAATCCATCTTGTGTGTCTCATCCTTTGTTGTGTAGCATGGCCCCGAACCGCTTCTAAACCCTAACCCTATCCCCTCAGTTAGATGGCCTAACGCCGCGTCGACTCAACAACACAGCCAAGGCCGAAATGGATCGCCTGTTCTTTCCGCGCTGTGCCAAAGTTGGTAGCGAGGCCCTAATGGAGTTCATGCAACATCTGCAGGATATCAACCACTTCCGAATCGACGTTAACGGAGTGGATAGACGCACCAGTCGCACCTTGAATGCCATGAGGCAGGAGGAAATGGCCGCGTATATCTATAACATGGACGAAGGCTCCGTCTATATCGAGCACACAAACTGGATCGACTTTAACGCCTATAACCTGCCCAAGCCGATCTTCATCAATATGGTGCGCGATCCAGTGGAGCGCATGATCAGCTGGTACTACTACATACGCAACTCCTATCGCAATGCTATATTCTATAGGAAAAATCCGTTGGCACCCATCAAGCCAACAGCCTGGTTCAAGAAGAGCTTCAACGATTGCGTTCGCAGCGGCGACCAGGAGTGCCAGTATATTCCACTGACCGTGAAGGATGCGGTGCCCAATTTTAAGAGACAATCGATATTTTTCTGCGGACACGAGCCGGATTGTCTGTGAGTTCGTCTCCAAAAAGCCATGAGATGCACGCGAAGTCATGCTCAACCTTGACCTTGACCCTTTCAGGCCCTTTAACTCGCCCCTGGCCGTTCAGATAGCCAAGCGTAGAGTCGAAACTGAGTTCGCTGTGGTGGGCACTTGGGAGGAGACAAATATCACCTTAGCCGTGCTGGAGCACTATATACCCCGATATTTCGCTCGTGCCACAATGATCTATAAGAGTAAGAAAATCCCGACAGATAGAGAGAGTTAGCATATGATCCATCTTGTTTCCAGTCTATCAGGACAGTATAATAAATCGCAATCGGAACAATCGCAAGCCCCATGTGGATGCAGATGTCCGGGCCATGGTCAGGCGAAACTTTACCCATGAGTATGACTTCTACTACTTCTGCAAGCAGCGTCTCTATATGCAGTATATCGCCCTGAAACGCACAGAGTTGGAGCGTTACTCACATCTATAAGTTCTCTTCTTATTTTTTTTTTGACTGAATTTCCTTTAGTTTTTGTTAGTTTCTCAGTAATTTTTTAATTAAAAACTCAATAGACATTGTTACTAACCGTAGTTGAGAAATGTTAGCCTCCAAACTCATGGGAACCAGTCGTCTAACCCCATGATATTACTGAAAACCCCAGCTCGCATCTCTGAGCAGCGAGAGGCTGAACAACACCCGACACGCACGGCTCGAGGTGGTCTTCTTCAACCGCGGCGCCAAGGTGGGTAGTGAGGCACTGATGCAGCTGACCGAGACGATGGCACCACTCAATAATATGACCGTGGTGACCAAGGGACCGATTGACATTAATGCACGTATCCGTGCCCCCAGAGAGCGAATGCTTCAAGCTGTTTGGGTGGCGGATCTAGAGCCCGGAACTATCTACATCGAACACTGCAATTGGCTGGACTTTCACAGATATCAGCTGCCCAAGCCCATCTACATAAACCTGGTTCGTGACCCCGTCGAGCGGATGATCAGCTGGTTCTACTACATCCGCAGTGGCTACCGTAATGCCATTATTCACAACCGTTTCCCCAACACGACCTTGAAATCGGAAAAGTGGTTTAAGAAGAGCTACAACCAATGCGTCCGCAGCGGTGATCCCGAGTGTCAGTATGTGCCCGACAGTATAAAGGACACGGTTGGGGATTATAAGAGGCAATCGCTGTTCTACTGCGGCAACAATCGGGAGTGCCTGTAAGTAGCCTCTAAGGGAGGATTTGACTACCTTTAGAAAAAGACTTAGCTGAAAGTGTTTTCCAGGCCCTTTGACTCGCCTCACGCCATTCAGCTGGCCAAGAGGAATGTGGAACGGGATTACGCAGTGGTGGGCAGCTGGGAGGATACCAATATAACCCTGGCCGTGCTCGAAGCATACATACCCAGATTCTTCAGGGGAGCCAGGCAGGTCTTTGAGTGTAGGTTGGCGTTGGCTAGCATTCTGTTTTGCTTGAACATTTTCCTCTGGGATTGCCTCTGGGATAATTAGTTTAGCATACACTATCAAAAACTCTGTGTTTCATCCAGCCATATTCTTGTGCTTGTGTCTGTCTTTATTTTGGACCTCAGTACAAACCGAAAACCTTCCCAGCTACGACGAGTCAGACCAATTTATCTGAACAATACACGATTTGCCGGCCTTGAGGTGATCGTCTTCAATCGCCCAACCCGAGTGTGCACAGAGCAAATGATGCCCCTACTGCGGCAGCTCTCTACCATGAACGACATGAATGTGGTGCTCAATGGACCAGTGCGAACCATGAACCGAACCCGCACCGAGAAACAACAGGAGACCGAAATTGCTTGGACAACCGAATTAGAGAGTGGAACGCTCTATATAGCCCATTCCAATTGGCTGGACTTTAAGTCGTTCGGTTACAAGAAGCCCATATACCTGTCGATGGTGAGAGATCCCATAGATCGTGTGGTGCACGACTATTATAAGCGTCATTCGAGGACGAAGCGTCAGATCTATCGCCGCATGTTTCCAGGACAACGTGAGAGACCCGAAGAATGGTACCTCCAGAGCTTTAATCAGTGCGTTCGAAACGGCAGCCCAGAGTGCCAGTTTATCCAGCACTCGGTCACGGACTATGTGGAGGACTTCAAGAGGCAGTCACTATTCTTCTGCGGCAATCATCTGAATTGTTTGTGAGTAGAGTGGGGAATCAAGGATCAACTGAAGTGTGCCTATGTCTATCCCATCTGTAGACCCTTCAACTCGCCCCATGCTGTCCAAGAGGCGAAAAGTCGTGTGGAGAAGGAGTACTCTGTGGTGGGAACTTGGGAGGAGAAAAACATTACCCTGACTGTTCTGGAGAAGTATGTCCCTAGGTTCTTCAATCACGCTCGTTTTCTGTACAAGTGTAGGTAGTCCCAGGGGTTTAAAGTGTTCAAGCAGCTCAAGTACCCCCCAAGTGGCATTATACTATATGGAATATCCTCTTTCAGTGCACAGTAATAGCATACGAAACCGGAATCGCAACAATCGCAAGCCCCGCGTAGATCCAGACGTTAGGGAAATGGTGAGACGGAACTTTACCAATGAGTATGAGTTCTATTATTTCTGCAAGCAGCGTCTGTACAAACAATATTTGGCCCTGCAACTCGAAGATAACCTTCGCTAAGGAAATACATACTTCGACTCAATATTAACCAAAGAATTTTTAGAATGTTCTCATATCTTCCAAATAAATACAGTTGGTGCCAAAACAATTGTGTCTTTTATTAGGTGTAAGAAAAATCTCTTAGGTCAAGACCCCCCTTAATACCCCTTAATGCATATCAAACACCAAGGATCTGCAGGTAAATAATGAGAGGAAAAAAAAGATGACACAAATGTGAGATCCTAGTTTTATTCGAACCAAACGCTTTCTCCATTCACAGATGTCGTCGCTCAATGTTCGGGACCTGAACAACACCCGGCTGGCGCAAATGGAACTGGTGTTCTTCAATCGAGTGCCAAAGGTTGGCAGTCAGACATTTATGGAGCTCCTCCGACGTCTATCTGAGCGTAACAACTTTCAATTCCATCGCGATGCAGTGCAAAAGGTGGAGACCATCCGCCTGGCCGAGGATCAGCAGCAGGAAATGGCCGAGGTTATCAGTGAGCTGCCCGAGCCCTCGGTCTTCATCAAGCACGTGTGCTTCACCAATTTCACCAAGTTCAATCTGCCCAAGCCGATCTATCTGAATGTGGTGCGCGATCCAGTCGAGCGCGTTATCAGCTGGTTTTACTACGTGAGGGCTCCCTGGTACTTTGTGGAACGTAAGGCTGCCTTTCCCGATCTACCGCTGCCACACCCGGCATGGCTGAAGAAGGACTTTGAAACGTGTGTCCTGAGCGGAGATCAGGAGTGCACCTATACACAAGGTGTCACGGTGGAGGGCATTGGCGATCATCGCCGCCAGAGCCTGTTCTTCTGCGGCCATGACTACGAGTGCACGTGAGTGCTGCCGCCGGTCCCAAGCTATCTGAAACTAATCATCTTTCTGTATACGTTGCAGTCCCTTTAATACGGTGGGTGCCTTGGAGAAGGCCAAATTTGCTGTGGAACAGCAATATGCTGTTGTTGGGGTGCTCGAAGATCTCAATACAACGCTCTCTGTGCTGGAAAAGTATGTGCCACGATTCTTTGAGGGCGTCCGCGATATATATGCAAGTAAGTTGTCGAATAACGAGATCATAAAAACTGGGAAAACATTTGCAGAGTCAACGAACCTTAATTGAAGTGTATGAAAAACGATCCCACTCAGCTGACACATTCAGACACATTCTTTGTGCACGAATCAGCGCAATAAATGTGCGCCACTTGAGTTCGTCACATCAGAACTTGATATATCCATGTAACCACAGCTCTGTATAAACTTCTCGTCTTACAGCCAGTGCCGAGTACCTAACGAAGATCAACAAGAATAACTTTAAGCCACCCGTCAGCGAGAGTGTGAAGGATATAGTGAGACGCAACTTCACCAACGAGATCGAGTTCTATCAGTTCTGTCGCCAGAGGCTCCACAAACAATATCTGGCCGCCCATCTGCCACAGCGTATTATCACAGACTCGGCACATCAGCCCGGCCTTGGTGGTAATTAGGATCAAATATTGCAAATGCATTGTATAGACGAACAAACAAACACTCAAAATTATACTCGAAACTGTAGTCAGCTAAGAAGTTCCCCCCATTATCGTATGTTGTAGCAAATTAATTGTTTTCTCTTGTGTATATTTCAAATTGGTTATCAAAAATACATCTTATATTTATATTGATTAGTGTGTACTTAAGGTTAGAAAGACCTGAATTCGAATTGTGATGTCTTCAAGTGAACTGTTGAAATTTTTGTGTTAGTATTCTAGTTTTAAGAAAACGTATGATGATAGAATGTACTAAATAATAAATGATTATTCTAAGAACACTTCGGCTTTGGACTCTGTTTGTTGTCGAACGGGGAATAAAATCAATAATAAAACTGAGTTTTGTTCTTCAATCAATGTCTAAAAAAAATGTCAAGAGTAACACAAGAATACATACTAGGCAAACAGAAACATAAAAATGGAACATAAAAAACAACGAAAATTTCTCTCAATTCTTAGAAATTATTGTGAAGATTGTGCTGCGCATTTTCATTCCAATGTAAAGCACTTGTTGAATGTTGTTGCACTCAGACATCGATTGATTTTACGCTTCTTGCTATAAATAAAACAAAGAAATCACAAATCATTTCCGAATAATAATATAGGTAGTTTTTCATACCGCTTATCGCCATACAAAGCGAAAGCCTTATCGGGCTTCATAGTACTGCCAGGTCCCTCGATGATTCTGCTAACGGGTAAGGCATTGGCACCTGAACAATCGAGAGATGGCAGTTCGACAACGCGTTGAGGTTCACGGATATATGCGGCCATTGGATCATTTTTGACCATCTCCAGGATATAGTCATCATCCAGATTCAACCAGCCAGCGTCCTTGGATCGAAGGTCAAACATCTGCGGCGCCAAACGCTGTACCAAATCCACGAAGATCTTTTCTGCAGCTGCATTTTTTGGATGCTGATAGGCCTCAACATGGAGACGCGCTCGTGCCGCGAACAAAGTATAGATGCGATGATAGTCATCATAACGATACTCAATACGTTGGCCGTCCTGTGATATGCGTGATTTAAGAAATATATTATCAAAGTCCATCTCTTCAGGGCCGAGTATTTTGAGACGTTTATTGTCGCGTCGGAGGTAGTCCCACTTGTCCACATCCAAGCCGCAGCGATTATTGTGCACGATGTCAAAGATGTAGGCATGCCCCATCATTGGAAAGTTCAGGTACTCAGTGTCGCCCAATATTAATGCCTTTATTAGCCGAACTCCACGGCCACTACCTTCATCCCGCAAAGCCACAAGCTCCGGGTGGCGGGCATCATTGAATATGCGATCCACGCAGTCCAGAGCATTTTCCTCGTGCTATTGAATGAAAAGAACAAGAAAAAATGCAAAAAATAATAATACAAGTTCGTCCAAGACCACGAATCTTACATTGAATTTGTTATGGGAAGCTTTTTCCCAGGCATGCGACATCGGTCCGTGACCGATGTCGTGCAGGAGAGCTGCTATCTCTACCGCCTTTCGACACCAATCGGGCAGCTTAGTCTCATATTTAGAGTTGCGCTCAATAGCTCTCAAGTGCTCCTGGGCGCTTTTGTAGGTGCTGGAAGAGATCGGCTTCAGAATTAGGTCGAAATTATGATGTTTGTGAGGCTTACCCCAAACAATGATCGTAGCGTTTCTGATTAGCATGTGGTGCTATCACCCACGCCACTAGGCCTAGCTGATGAATCTTCTTCAGGCGTTGAAACAGCGGGTGCTCCACAATCTCCTGTATGTGGCTCGGCAGCTCAATAACTCCGTGCACCTCATCTTCGATAAGCATCTGAAAGGGTGGGACTTTAGACTTGCTAACTGGTTCTTTATAAACTCTAATAAATATATATATAAATCTTAGCGGCTTATAAGATCAAGCTCATGCTTCTGCCGCGACTGGCTAGCTCTAACTGATAGGAATGGGTTTCCCCCAAGTGAAGAAACTGTCACAGATCAAACCCATTTTCAGACACCACTCAGCTACACGGCACGCATACTAATGCCACAGCGCAGCTGAGGGACGCTACAGCTGGGCCGCTACCATGGCAACCACTTACATACGGGAGTACTGAATGCAGGGGAGCTTGCTGGTGCAACAGTTGTTGTTGTTGCTGGCATGGTTGTTGGGCGCCATGGTCGCGGTAGTCCCCGGAAAGAATGAGGCTGGCGGACATTCTGAATGGATTCCCGTTTCTTGATCGAACGATTGCGCGACCGAAATACAAGCTAAGCCACGGACACGACGTTTTGACGGCTTCCTCAAACTTTCAATTTATTAATGTCATCGGAAACTTGCCAAAAAAAATATATAAATATGTAACAAGTGTGACCGCGAATTTATTGATAAAGTAAAACCGTATGACCCTCAATATATACCAAAATATACCGTCTCATTTTCAAAATATACCGTAAATATGCCGAACTTACTACATCTTTGTGTAGTTGAAATGTAGCAGAATTAAAAAATCTCCGTTATTTAAACAGAATAAAAATAATAATTATTATTACTCTTGTAAGTCAATCCTATCTTTACTTATCTTTACTTAAACTTACTGACTGAACAGCGGTAAAATTCCTTCTTTCACTAGTCGACAATGGCTTAATCGTTCTCTGTCCATTACTAGCTCCATTACTAGCTCCATTACTCCATTACTAGACCTCCAGCCTTGAACTCGTAATTTTATCCGATTAATGAAATAACTTTTTATATGACTGGCTAATTTTAGGGACTCCCTCTTTTTTCATTTTGTCTAAAATTAGGTTTAAGCAGCAAAAGTTCAGCAAAATTGTACCTTTTTTGACATGGTAACTACACGATAACTACAGATAAAGTCGACTGGATAGTCGGTGGAGCTGCGCGCCAAAGTTGCATTTTTGGAAGGTCAATGCGTGATAAGAATATAAATGCAATCCAGGGATATGCATCAGTTGCTCTACGATTTGAGAGAACGGAAATGCAAAAACCTGCGAAGGAAAGTTTCTATACTCTATGTTCCTTAAAATAACTCTAAAAATTAAATTTAATAGTCTTCGTCCGTTGCGGGGGCGGAAAGATGCTGATTATGTAACAGCTACAGGATTGTGAAAGACGCAAGACAATCGATATTATAGGCAAGAAATTGTAAAGAGCATACTTTTGGGTGGAAAATGCATGTAAGTATTGGGGGCCATACCGTATCAATTTGTGTATTAAATATCATTCAATTTGTTTCTAGCACAACAAAAATACAACAAACAAAGCAGTCTATGGCGGAAAACATTACAAATTTTGCGACCAAGTGTCTCTGTCGCGAATTGTACATACTACATCGTAGTGTAGTTGACATGTAGCAGAATTCGAAAATGTCTGCAACGTGTGTTTTGTATGGACCAGTATGGACCGTTACTTTGTTATCATAGCCGTATACCCGATTTGTTTTTCCTTATCGCTGTATAAGAGATATGTATGCGGGCCAATCGGGCGTGGAATCCCTCTTGATGATAGCGAAAAAATATGGGAAAATCAGAAAAAATCGAGTCGGTCCTGCGGCTTAAGCATTAATCTCGGTGCCCACCTGATATCTGGTATATCTAGGTGTATCATCTATCTATCTATCAATAATAATAGCTTGAAATGCTAACTGAAATGAGTTAAATTAGTTCATTCATTGTCTAAGAGTCTAATTAGAGACACCTGTGCCGAAATTTCCAACTAATTGCAGTTAATTTATTGTCATGTGATGAATAGAGCCGAATTTAAAGCAAATATTATTCGGGCTAGGTTTTCTGTCTCTCTGTCACACTAGGGGGCCATCCAGGGGGACCCGCACGAGAGGGGAGGTGGAGCTCAGGCGGAATTGAATTAGTTGTGGTTCAGAGCGCCGTCGCAGAGAAATGAAAGCGAAAGTAGTCGCTAGTTGACCCACAGATGAAAATGGAACAGCAAAGAGAATACTGACAAGCAAAGAGAGAAGAGAGCAGCAAAAGAGAGGGTGGTGGCACGACCATGTGTTTGACTGCATTTGCATCTGTATCTGCAGCTGTATCTGCATCTGTATCTGCCTCAAAGAAATGCAATGCCCATGTAAATGGATCAAGAATTTGCAGCTACTGAAGCCCCGAAGTCAACGCACTTTAAAAATAATAATGAGCGGAATGTACCATACACAAATATGTGTGTATCTGTGTGTATAATCCTCTCAGTTACACTGGCCGGACTGCTGGCTAAAAAGAAAATAAAACAATTAATCGTAAAATGAAACAAACAACAAAATTGAACAAACAATTAAAGAATGCAAATATAAACCAAACAAAAATGTTCTGAAGAAACAAAACAAATACGATAGAAATGCCGGCTCCACACATGACGGACGGGCAACCGACCCCAGTAGAGGAGCGATAGAGATAGTCACAACTGAGAGCCAACTGAGAGAGAGACGCTAAAGGGAGAGTGCCCACAGCAAACAATTGCTGCACAGTGGGGCCAAATTATCAATTGCGGTAGGTGGAGTTGAATTGTAGAAACGTTAAACACAATTTTCTTTGGCTATTTTTCGTTTTTTCGCCATATGTAAGTAAATTACATAAAATTCAAATTTATGGCGAATACATGGCGAAATACATATGTATGATCCCCTTAAGATACACTCAGAGCCCGTAGGAAAGTTGGATTCCACACATTTCAGCCACTGTGCCAATTGAGTTTCCAACATTCTCTCAATTGTTTGCCCCACTGCGCTCTCTGGCGTAGCCACCCAAAAACCGCCCACAGAGACAAACACAGAGAGAGAGAGAGAGCGAATGAGAACAAGCAAGGCGACCTGGCAAGGTTGCAGCTTTTGGCGATACTGCCTCAGTTGCCACACGACAGGACGGCCAAACGGGCGATCCAAAACGAGATTCAAGAGAGGCCAAAGCCGCTTGCAGCTAAAACTAGATGTTCGACAAGTAAATGTATCTTTGAGATACAACGATATGAAAATTAATAATAATTAAAGCGCAGCGGCTCTCGCTCTCTCTGTGGGCTGTTTTTTTTTTTTGCACGAAAAGAACAGTAGCTGAAACGAGAAATAATACGCGAAATATTTCTCAAAAAATCTTTGGTATCTGTGTATCGGAGAAAAAAAAGAGGCCGCCCCGCCGCGCCATGCGGTTGTCGGCTGTCGACGCTCTGCTCTCGCCTCTCGGCCGCCAGTGGGCGAAAGACGCAACTGCTGCGACCTTGCAATGCCCTTGAATGACACTCTTATTGCGACCAAGTCGCCAATGTTGCCACTACAACGGGCGCTGCTGCCACGGCTGCCACTCAGCGCTGGCGCAAAATCATAATAAAATAAAAATAAATATAAAATAAAAATACACAAAAACGGATTCCAAACCAAAACAAAAAAAATAAATAAAAACTTAAGATAACCGTGAAAATCTACAAGATATTGTCCGATTTTCGTGTGCAGGCCGAGTGAATTTTTTTTGTAGATTGAGACCCTTCCTCTCAGAACCCTGAAACCAAAACACACACCGAGTCCTTATCAAAACCAAAGCCTTAACCCAAATCAAAAACTTTTGAATGGAACGCGAGTGAAAAGATATAGTAGAAAACTATCCGGTTTACTTTTTTTTTCAAATTGAAATAAACAATTTTTTTCTCTTAAAATAAATGAACTGCAGAAATAAATGAAATAAAACATATCTGAAGAAAATACAAAAATTCCATTCAAGGAAAGTGTTATCTAAGCAACTAACGCCCTCTGGCGGCCCCCAAACTCAAAAGTGAAGGTGTATATGTGTGTGTGTGAAAGTGAGTGAAAGTGAAAGTTCACGTTCAGACGCAATCCTTCGGTGACCTTTCGCCCCACATATTGGGTCACTTTCTTGGACGACTACATAACGACAAAAAGGCACGCAATACCTAAAAGGCCGACCGCCACATTTATAGTATGCTATATAGAGAATTGGTATATGTAGGCGATATTTATGCGACAGCTTTTGACAACTAATTCTTTTTTTTTATTGCTACGCCTGTGCGAGAGCGAGAAGAACTTTGGCAAAGGCCAAAAAAGGAACGCCTTGGAATTATATTAAAACTACAGGTTGGTAATCATTCCATCATATTTCCTACAATATATGTAAATACATAAGTAAGGTGGAAGCATAATTAAGTGCGTGTTCTAGATATATGTATGATAATGTCGTATATGCCAAACGATTGCGTGATAATTCTTGCTTGCTCTTTTTGCAATTACCATGTGCGTGTATCCATGAGATACATTTGACATTGATTGTGGCATCTAAAGTCATTGCGATGGAAGCTGAACCAAAACATGAATTAAGCCGGAGAGCGAGAGAGAGTCGGAACAATTGGGGACAAGTTCAGGGAGTTCAAGTTTCATCTACCAGACTATAAAAATTAAGTTGAATTATAGTCTTGCGTATTCTATAGATTGGAATATACAGTGGATAAACCGGTTTATTGTTCTTCAATTTTCCGAAAGAAGTTGAGAATCAATTAGTTTTCAATGCAGTTTCTATGCAGATTCCACACAGCTTCTTATTATGATCCTTTAATCAGACGAAAATGTAAAGTAATAAGGTGCAGCCCCACCAGCTTTCTCATATATTAACGCACTTTCCTAATATCATTTACGTTTTACTTTACGCACCCAAATGCTTACATAAGAAATCTGACTTTCTTGACGTACTTCCAGGACGTACTCTTCCTTAACCATCCCCAATCAAAGCAAAACAATCCAAAACAATGTCTCGTTATCACAATCTATGGAAAAAGCAATCGCAAACCCCACATCTTCAAACCCAAACAATAATCATAAAAGGAGGAAAGCGAAAGTATCTGCCCCCACCAGTAGTATCTGTGTGTCTGTAACTGTGTTTTCAGACACAGCGCAAGCGTTTTTCCTGTGGCTTTGTTTTTGTTGCTGCTGGTCACGGCTCTTGGCTTTGTTTGCTTTTGACATTTCGTTGGGTAGCAATGTCATACAAATATAAATAAAAAATAAAAAAAAAGCATACAAAAAACACGCGCCAGCCGAAAAGCAGAAAAAATGAGTGAGAACACCACCCCCACATCCACGGGACCGGGGCACACGCACTCACACAAGCGCAGAGTATCTGTTAGATACAACAGCAACAAATTACCGACAACAAATTAGCGCTTGGAACAAGGCTCGTGAAAGCCATTCCGTATACTCTGTATATGTATATATTGATTGTTATGGAGTTCCGATGCAAATCGATTCCCTTCCCCAAAACACAAACCCTAAACCAATCCCAAAACCAAAACA